TCTTTCATAGACCCAGTTGCTGGCAAGTTCACTCCCAAATAATTTCACTCCAAAACTTTTTCTTATTCTCAGCAATATTTGTTGACAGCATCTCACCTTCTCTCTCATTTGCTCTCCTGTTACATTTCTTCATCACTCTCTTAACCTCTCTTTTTCTCTCCACATATTCCCCTCCTTATGTCACTTCTACTTTGTAAAAAGCTCTCATATGCTAAATTTTTCTCTCTTACTAATCTCTTTACTTCATCATTCTACCAATCACTCTTCCCTCCTGCACCCACCCTCCTCTATCCACACTTCTGCTGAACACACTAACACTACATTCTTAAATATACACCATACCTCTTCAACCTCACTGCCTATATTCTCACTAGCCCATCTTTCTACCAATAGTTATCTTACCTTAACTGCCTCCTCCTCTAATTTATAAACTTTCACCTCTCCCTTACTTGCTGATGCCATTCTCCTTGTATTCCATCTCTCTCTCTTTTACTCTCACTGTAACTACAACTAAAAAATGATCTGACATATCTCTTGCCCTTCTATAAACATGCACATCCAGAAGTTTACCCATGCATGGCCTAATAATTAGTTTTGGGTATTTCAATGGCTGTAGCACAGGCATGCAGCTTAGTGAGAACAATAACTGGACTTCAAATTATTCCTCGTACATATAAAAATAAATAATTTGATAGCAAGAGCAAGTTATTGCAAACAGCTATTTATAGAAAACCCCTTAAATAACAAGAATGTAAACAAAATATAAACAGAATGGCAGAAACTTGCAGATTTTGAGAATGGCTATGTGGTTGCTTTGGTTAAACTAACCAAGTTAGGCATTACAATGAGAAGACACAAGACATGAGTATCAATCAGGGGGTGAGGAAGAAATAACTGATGGAAACAGTCTTTTTTAGGATTTAGGAATATGCACTGCCCCAAACTTGAACCACGAAACACACACAGGTTTGGAACGTTAAGGACAGGTGGGAAATTTTCAGCGCGCTCTCAAGAAAAAAATTAAAAAATTATGGAAATTGAGTTATTCATATAGAAAAATAGCTTAACTCTTTGGCAACACAATGGTACAAGAATCAATGTTCTAAGACGTTTCTACAAGAAATTATAGTCATTTATATCAGGTATGGTAACGGCGATGTAGGTAGCGCGTCTGTTCTCAACCCATGTATTTTTTGGAATTTTTTACTTGTTTTTTATCGCTTTTTCTTTGCATTATTCTTTCTAATATAATAATTGATTATTTGGCATCATATAAGAGTAGGTGAAGCTCATCAGTAGAGTGCCAGCCAATCGGGAGCCATTTGAGAACACTCGGCAGTACTCCCCCTCCAGATGGTGCCAGGTGAAATCACTTCATTATTACGCTTATATCAGCTTATATATCAACTATACGGCTTATTTATCTATCAGAACTGATCTAATATGATATAATAAACACTATAAATAACAAACAAACATGTTATATACTCTAGACTGAATAAAATAGGCCATAATATGGTGAGAGTCCACCAGCAATATTTCGATATAAATGATTAACTCCTCGTCTTCATGTTGTATTGTTTGGTCTGTGATAGAAAACGGTATTTTGGAGAGGATAACTGCACTAGAACATCAGTTTACTTAGAAAACAACTGAAACAAACGCGATTTTGGCGAAAAAAAAAAAAATTTGAGACGGCGGGCCGGCCAGCGTTCCAGGCCTATATCTCAGAAGTAACTTATTCACTTATTTCGCTGACCTATACCATTATTAATGACTGTACAGTGGACCCCCGCATACCGTTGGCCTTACATAACGTTAAATCCGCATACCGATACATTTTATCGCTAAGATTTTGCCTCGCATACCGCTAAAAAACCCGCTCAACGCTGTTCGTCCGAGACGCGTCTAATGTGCGGCCTTAGCCAGCCTCACATGTTCCACCGGTGGCATTGTTTACCAGCCAGCCTCCGCGGAAACATCCAAGCATACAATCGGAACATTTCGTATTATTACAGTGTTTTTGGTGATTTTATCTGCAAAATAAGTGACCATGGGCCCCAAGAAAGCTTCTAGTGCCAACCCTACAGGAATAAGGGTGAGAATTACTATAGAGATGAAGAAAGAAATCATTGATAAGTATAAAAGTGGAGTGCGTGTCTCCGAGCTGGCCAGGTTGTATAATAAACCCCAGTCAACCATCGCTACTATTGTGGGCAACAAAAAGGCAATCAAGGAAGCTGTTCTTGCCAAAGGTTCAACTGTGTCTTCGAAACAGAGATCGCAAGTGATGGAAGAGGTTGAGAGACTCTTATTGGTGAGGATAAATGAAAAACAGATAGCAGGAGATAGCATCTCTCAAGTGATCATAAGTGAAAAGGCTAGGAAGTTGCATCAGGATTTAATTAAAAAAAATACCTGCAACTAGTGATGATGCGAGTGAATTTAAGGCCAGCAAAGGTTGGTTTGAGAGATTTAAGAAGCGTAGTGGCATACATAGTGTGATAAGGCAAGGTGAGGCTGCCAGCTCGGACCACAAAGCAGCTGAAAAATATGTGCAGGAATTCAAGGAGTACATAGACAGTGAAGGACTGAAACCTGAACAAGTGTTTAATTGTGATGAAACAGGCCTGTTTTGGAAGAAATGCCAAGCAGGACCTACATTACTCAGGAGGAAAAGGCACTCCCAGGACATAAGCCTATGAAAGACAGGCTTACTCTGTTGATGTGTTCCAATGCTACTGGTGATTGCAAAGTGAAGCCTTTATTAGTGTATCACTCAGAAACTCCCAGAGCGTTCAGGCAAAAGAATATCCTCGAGGCTAATTTGTGTGTGCTGTGGAGGGCAAACAGTAAGGCATGGGTCACTAGGGACTTTTTCTATGACTGGTTACACCATGCATTTGCCCCCAATGTGAAAGATTACCTAACTGAAAATAAATTAGACCTTAAGTGCCTCCTGGTGTTAGACAATGCCCCTAGTCATCCTACAGACGTGGCAGAGCGACTTTATGGAGACATGAAGTTCATTAAGGTGAAGTTTTTGCCTCCTAATACCACTTCTCTCCTGCAGCCCATGGACCAGCAGGTTATTGCAAACTTCAAAAAACTGTACACAAAAGCTCTGTTTGAAAGGTGCTTTGTAGTGACCTCAAACTCAACTAAGAGAGTTTTGGAGAGATCACTTTAATATCCTCAATTGTGTAAACCTTATAGGTAAGGCTTGGGAGGGAGTGACTAAGAGGACCTTGAACTCTGCTTGGAAGAAACTGTGGCCAGAATGTGTAGACAAAAGGGATTTTGAAGGATTTGAGGCTAACCCTGAGAGGAGTATGCCAGTTGAGGAATCAATTGTGGCATTGGGGAAGTCCTTGGGGTTGGAGGTTAGTGGGGATGATGTGGAAGAGTTGGTGGAGGAGGACAATGAAGAACTAACCACTGATGAGCTGCTAGATCAACTTCAACAGCAAGAGGCCAGACCTGAGGAAACTGGTTCGGAGGAGGGGAGAGAGAAATTGAAGAAGTTGCCTACTACAAAGATTAAGGAAATCTGTGCAATGTGGCTGAAAGTGCAAACCTTTATGGATGAAAATCACCCTCACACAGCTATTGCAAGCCATGCTGGTGACTATTACACTGACAATGTTGTGAAACACTTTAGGGAAGTCATAAAGGAACGAGAGGTACAGGCCACTATGGACAGATATGTTGTGCGACGGAAGTCCAGTGACTCTGAAGCTGGTCCTAGTGGCATTAAAAGAAGAAGGGAAGTAACCCCAGAAAAGGACTTGACACTTCAAGTCTTAATGGAAGGGGATTCCCCTTCTAAACATTAAGACTCTCTCCTCCTCCCATCCCATCAATCATCACCAGATCTTCAATAAAGGTAAGTGTCATGTAACTGTGCATGCCTTTTTCAGTTTGTGTGTATTAAAATTAATATTTCATGTGGTAAAAATGTTTTTTTTTCATACTTTGGGGTGTCTTGCACGGATTAATTTGATTTCCATTATTTCTTATGGGGAAAATTCATCCGCATAACGATAATTTCGCGTAATAATGAGCTCTCATGAACGGATTAATATCGTTATGCGGGGGTCCACTGTATTGAAATGATTTTCACGGACAATATAAAACAAAGTGTGTTTGACTATTTGGTGCTTCTTTTTTTGGAATATATCAAATATTTTTGATTTTGTGGGAGGTAAAAGGCAGATATTTTGGTGAATCCCAAAAAGTCTATCAAATGTGTTTTTTTTTTTCCATGATAATAAGATATATTAGATGAAACATGTGCATCCAAAATTCGTGTCAGACGTATTCTAACGGTTGGGATTGTCGGAAGTGCCACTCGTAGTGCCATTTTGTCATTCTTGCTGCCATATATGAAAAGTCATTCAAATATTTTTTTTCTCTGTTGTTTGTTGGCCAATAATACTGAAACTTTGTCACATTCTTCTACGTATGAACTTCTAAACGTACACCAAAAATAAAAAAAATTCATTGAAAAATAAAAAAGTTGGCCGAAATTTTGACCTCCAACCTTAAAAAGCACTAAACAAAACTCCTGAGTGTAGGGAAATGAGCTGTAAATAAAGACAAAGAACTATGCAAACTATCTTAGGAAGAATAATGAGGGAAACAATAACAATATAGCAAGAACTCCATGGAAGGCAGAGACAATGATAGGTCCTTTTCAATATGAGAAATCAAAACAACAGGTAAGTCATGCATGGAAACCATACAACCAAATGATTTACATCAATATGAGAGGTAATGGAGTGGAATGACCTAGATAATAATATAGTAGCTGACTCCTTACAAGGGATCAAAAAGTATACTTAATAAAAGAATAATATCATGCGAGTTGGTTGAATAATATGAGGTAGAACAAAGAGATAGATCTCAGCTCAACCCCCACAAACTAAAATTTGGAATTAAACAGTGACAACTATCAATATTTAGTTAATATCAAGTAAAATATGAAAAATGCAACAAACCTTATCAATCTTGAATGGGTTTCCAAACATGTGTTGTCTGACAGGTGTTGATTCTATTTCTCGCAAGGGAGGAGTCATTTTTTTCAAGTAATCCTGAAAAATAAAAGATAAATTAAGTGAATAATATTAACAGCATTTTGCTAGTGCCAGACACAGAGACTCTCATAAACAGACTCCTTGTTGCACAATTGTTTTCACTCACCATAAGGTGGGCCAAAGCAGCATGGGTTCGAGTCCTTGGCTAGTCGCAGTGTTGTTATTGATCAATACCACTCGTTCATGGTTGCAATAATATAAAATACTGCTCGCTGGGAGGTAGAATGAAATTAGCTCAGAGGCACCCACACCACCGTATGTCCGCAGATGATGGTAAAACACCTAGCTTGGCTGGTTGCGTCGCTCTTGTAGTACTGCATGGTCCTATGGGTTAGAGCGTCATGTGTTTTCACTCACCATGAGGCGGGCCAAAGCAGCATGGGTTCGAGTCCTTGGCTATTCGCAGTGTAATTGACCAATAACACTCACTCATGCTCATAATAATATGCATATGTACATTTATTTATTTTAACACGTTGGCCGTTTCTCACCAAGGCAGGATGACCAAAAAAGAAATAAAAACCCAAAAAGAATGAAAAAAAAAAAAAAAAACTTTCATCACCATTCAACACTTTCACAATCACCCATACATAATCACTGTCTTTGCAGAGGCTCTCAGATACGACCGCTTAGATGTCTCTCCAAACTACCAATATCCCAAACCCCTCCTTTAACTCTTAAACGGTCCAAACATATATACGTTTTCTTGTGTAGCGCCCTGAATATTTTGAGAAAAAAGTTTTTTTTAATAGAAAAAAAGAGCATGTGGTACCCAGGCATTCCCAATTTTTTTCATATGGCGCACACTGAGTGCGCACACCCATTCTCTCATGTCTAGGCGACTCAGGCTTATCGTGCCAATGTTGAACGAATGACAAATGAAACGTATACATGTGTATATACGTTTGGGGCGCTACGCGAGAGAACGTATATATACGTTTGGACCATTTAAGGGTTAAAGTGCAGGCACTGTACTTCTCATTTCCAAGACTCAAGTCCAGCTAACTGGTTTCCCTGAATCTCTTCAAAAAATATTACCCTGTTCACATTCCAACAGCTCTACAGGTCCCAAAAACCATTCGTCTCAATTTACTTCTAACACACTCGCGCACGCTTGTTGGAAATCCAAGCCCCTCACCCATAAAACCTCCTTTACCCCCTCCCTCCAACCTTTTCAGGGACGTCTCCTACCCTGCCTTCCTTCCCTTACAGATTTATAAGCTCTCCAAGTCATTCTAATATTTGCTTACTTTTTTCTATTTCTCTAGCCAATTATTTTTTTTTTTTTTGCTGAGATGTACTGTGAGTCACATACAGTGGGAGCATCATTTCCTTTCTATATGCTACATAATCTATGGTTTCTGTACTGTAATAAAATAATAACTATTAATCTCCAAAATGCCTCTCTCTCTCTCTCTCTCTCTTTTAGCCCATTACTCTGACTGTTATCAACAATCATCACAAATAATTGTGTCTATATGTCTCAACAGCCATTAAGAGAAACTGAGCTCCCAGCTGCCGTATGAATCTACTACGTAATTTACTTTCTTCATGATACTCTCAGGTCATGCAATTTTATGAGCATCAACCTCATAACTACTTACTTTCATATTATTAAAGTTCAATACAACATGTCAACCCATCAAAATATATAAATATAGGAATACAAATTGCAGAGTTTAATAACTTAACCCTTTCAGGGTCCAGACCCCCGATGCCAGACTTGTCCACAATGTCCAAGAATTAAAAAAAAAAAAAAAATAAAAATTCTTATAAAAGGTAGAGAATCTTTTACTGAGGGTAATAAAACAAAGTATGAAATTTGATAGAAAACTGACGGAATTAGGTTTTCATAAATTCTGCTGCATCAGCAATATTTACGCATCAGTGATTCTGCCTACTTCGAGTCCTATTTTAAGCCAATTACAGTGTTCCAGTTGACCAAAGTCTTAGCTGTTTTGCTAGTAAGTCTTCCATTTTAGTGATTGAGCACAAGAAACCACCCTATCAACTACTTTAACTACTCAATATAGTGATCAGAAATTGGTAATTTGTTCAATTTCACACAAATTTCAAAACATTCCAATTTCAAAACAGTGTCTAGAATAAACAATGCAGACAAAGCTGCTTCCTCTGAACATATCTGCTTGCAATTCCTCCTTTTCTCTGCAATACTGCAAGCTCCTGATATGTTGATTGCAACAAGAAAAGCCTAGAGCTGTCATTCAACTCCCCCTATGGTTGTTTTGCATTTTGTATACAGTAGGACCCTGCTTTACGGCGTTTCACTTTACGGCGTTCCGCTAATACGGTCATTTCAAATTATGACCAAAACTCGCTATACGGCTCCCCCACCTGACTTTCTAATATGGTCACCGTGTCCCACTCGGTTTGTTTACATTCTCTGTGAGATCCAAGCACTAAGTCTCTCCATTATGTCTGGAAACAACAAAATTTCAAGTGTTTTTAAAAGTTATTTCATATTTTATATATACTCTGATAATTATACTTATGTACCTGTACCTAGATAAACTTACATACTGTGCCGGCATGCAGGTATACATTAAAATCAATAAGTGTGTTTTATATCTCGAGACGTCATATTAGTAATGATAATAATAATCGAGTCTCATTAAATGTTGTATATAACGTTAATGTACACATTTTCATTAATCCATCCATGATATTTTGTTCAAAATTATATAATAAACACAATGCATAACATAAAAAGATGATAAATACACCCCACAATAGAATAAATAAACAAATATGAGATGTGGTAGCCAGATAACTTGTACAAGTAACGGCAAGAATAACATTTTCTCTAGTCTAACATAAGAGAAAATGTATTACTGTGGGCAACTGTAGAAAATTATTCCTTTCGTATGTATGTAAGTTTATTCAGATATACACAAATACAGTTACTAAGATTATCATACATAACAGCATATGTGTAGAAAACCTAGGATAACCCAAAGAAGTCAGACAGAGTGACTTATTTCCATTGCCTTCACTCAGAGCATCATTTCTTCTAAAAATGGTGTTACATGAGAATGGGAATGTTCTTCTTTATTTATTCTACCGCATCAATGTAGAGACAACTTGTACACAATGTAACTTGTACACAAACCAGACGTGTACACTGTTTACAAAACTTGCCTTCCCCTGGTTTGTTTACATAACTCTGAGCCTGTCCTCCCTCACATACTCACTCTCTCTCTCTCATTTATTCATTTTATCTTGTTTACTCACCCCTGACCCTAGATTAAGACTACAAATATTTTAAGATAAGTAATGAATGAACTGTATGTGCATTTTATCGCCCTGGGATGCTTAAATATCATAGAATATATGTGTGGGTGGAATGGCCTGGTATGGTAGCCTGGCTGACTACCATACATACCACACTTGATTTCTTACAATAAATACTACTTGTCTCACCCTAGATTAAGACTATAAATATTTAAGGTAAGTAATGAGTGCACTATGTGTGTATTGTACTTTTTTATTGCTTTTTGATGCTTAGTTCTATTGCTAACTTAATATATGTTAGTGTAAACTTGTTATCTAGTATTTGTATGCATTCATAAGGAAAAAAAAAAGGGTATTCCACTTTCCGGTGATTTCTGCTTTACGGCGGTAGCCTGGACCCTAACCTGCCGTATAAGTGGGGCCCTACTGTAGCTTGTTTGCAATTTTTGTATAATATACATTATTTTACTACCATCCTGCCAAGTGAATGTAAAATGAAAGCCTGTAATTGTTTTACATGATGGAAGGATTGCTGGTGTTTTTTGTCTCAAACATGCAAGGTTTCAGGTACGTCTTGCTACTTCTAGTTACACTTAGGTCACACTACACATACATGTACAAGCATATATATACACACCCCTCTGGGTTTTCTTCTATTTTCTTACTAGTTCTTGTTCTTGTTTATTTCCTCTTATCTCCATGGGGAAGTGGAACAGAATTCTTCCTCCGTAAGCTATGCGTGTTGTAAGAGGCGACTAAAATGCCAGGAGCAAGGGGCTAGTAACCCCTTCTCCTGTATATATTACAAAATGTGAAAGGAGAAACTTTTGTTTTTCCTTTTGGGCCACCCCGCCTCAGTGGGATACAGCCGGTGTGTTGAAAGAAATAATTATTTATTTATTTTTCAAAAATCATTATTTTTAACTTTAAGCATATTGACATTTTTCTACATCAGCCTACAATCACTAAAATAGTAATCTCATATTCAAAGTAAAATAAAGTTTAACTAATATATAGTAAAACTTTATGCAAGCACTGTCAATTTAGTATTATTCTGTGATTCTCAGAACTATTCAGTGCTGCTTGTTGTTTTTTGCCTCGTCAGCCATCTCCCACTAAGATACGTTGATCCAAAAAGAGGAAACACATTTTACTATCATTTACTTAATTGCTGTCTTGCAAGAAGTGTGCCAACATCACACTTCAGATTACCTTATGATTGCAACATCCCCAACCCTTCCTATAGAGGACTCAACCAGTATCACTGAATCCCTTTCTTTAGAGGACTCAACAAGTATAGATGAATCCCTTCATGTTACCTTGCTCACACTCCAACAACTCACCAATTAACAATCATTCATCTCTACTCTACTCCTGTCTAACATACTCACACGTCTGCTGGATGCTTAAGCATTGTTTCTAACACATTTAACTTCTAAGCTGACATTCATAGTTCAATATGACAACTGTACATCAGTATGTCTTTCCTCTCAAATTATATAATGCTATTTATGCATTATATAATTTATATAATGGGATTTCATAAGCAATGTTTCTGGTCAACATTTTACAAAATACTTAAGAGCTTTTATTCCCCGAAAGAACTTATGGAAGGCATTAGTATATGCTTCTTTAAGAATAAAAAGTCACAATACCATTGCTGGAACAAACAAATAATACACAAATAACTCGCACTCTGGAGACAAACTTATGATGTTTTGGTCCGACTCTGACTATTAACAAGT